AACTGAAAATGTAACTAACAATGAAGCTTTTACACATGTGGCACATCAGGTACCCAGCAGAGCCAGCTTTGTAGCTGGCACTATTGGTGATCTGGCATTAAAAAATGAGGGACCAGAATGCAGTCTTTGAAAGACAGATTCAGATGTGACCTTCATAACTGAAATCACCATCCAGGTACACTGTTATGCTTTCATTTAATTTGACTACACAACTGTATCTGTTCAATAACATATTTACTTAAATGATGTATATTAGAAATAGGAATTCATATGCCAGCATTTCATTATGAGAACCTCTGGGAATTAGAAATTATTTACATTCTCCTGAGATCCATAGGACCCATCTATAACAAGTAGACTAAGAATAAATAAATAAAATGAACATTTATTTAAAAACAATTGCAAGATGTTTTACATTTCTGCTCAGTATCGAGCTGTGTGTTGAAAATGCATTTTTCATAAAACCACATGCAAGGCTTTTGGATGGGGAAAAAATCAACTCGCAACAGCCACATGTCTAGGCAAATCCTTAGAAGCTAGCATGGACCGCACACAGACATTCCAGAAGAAAAGACATTACTAGAAAGTAGTTTCTCTTGCAGGGAAGTAGAGTATGTGAGAGTCTAGTAGGCCACTTTGATAAATAAATAAAAGTCTTTTTTTTTTCTTTTCTAGCACAAAACTGGTTCAACTGGAGGGCAAGTTAAAGCCAAATTCACATTTTGCTTACTTTTTTCTTCTTTTGTTAAATGATCCTTTGACTTAAATGAAGATTTGTGTATATAAGATTAACGGTAAAGAAAGATATCCTTTTTTAAGAAGAACAACCATTTGGGCTTGTTTTCTCCGAACTTGCTTCATCTTATCTAAATTTCACCTTTCTGTTTTTTCGGCATATCTCTATGATACTGCTTCTTTCCAGGAAAAACAAAGCCCAGAGTCTCAAGATTATCGAAGTGCAAAACTATACTCTTTTAACTTTGTGTTTGTTTTAAAATCAGTGTAACTAAACCAGTACAAAAGATTCTGTGAACACTCTTGAATCAGCGTAAGCCTAGCATCCTTAGTGAAACATAATTAGACATAACTTTTATCTAAGCCACTCCTGAACCTGTAAGAATCACACTCTGTATTTTCATATCTCCAGCATATAACTGAAATCCTTCAACTTACTGCTGGAGAGATGTTGTCTGCTGTCCTTAAAACTTAGACTAAGTTTAGTTTTCTGTATCAAGCTTAAATTAGACTGCAGTTCCTTGACAGCCTGCGTTAATCCATTGCATTTTGTGGTCTTGCTCTTTCTTACCGTGTTGTGGGGTTGTAAGTCTGTCTACCTCCCTTTTGGCATTTTTGACACACTGACCCTCCACTAAAGTACAGTTAGATTGGCTTAGGTTGTGTTGTAGTCACAATTTCTGATGTGAAAAGTAATGACTAAAACAGCATTTATTTAATGATAACTATGTATTTATAAATTGATTTTAAGTAAACTGATACAACTTAGTATCAGTAGTATGGACAAGTTTTGCTTTCTATGTTTATTATATTCTGAAGGAAGCTCGCTTTTATATTTCTTGTTCTGTTTTTCCTGCACAAAACACAAAATTAACTAAAACTCAGTTACTTTGATTTCTTTTCAGCTTAAAAAAAGAAATCCCAGTATTGCTCTAATGTAGAGCGTTTCACTGGAATGAGTAAAACTACAGTTTCATTTAACTTTTGGCCATGTTTCTTTGTAGCTAGGTTTTTAAGGGTAAGAACTAAAGTCAGGGGAAGGGATGAAAAATGCAAGTACGTTTTTAGGAGTTTGCACGATCCATCTGAGCAAGAGTAAAATCCGTAGTAGTCCATAGCTACAGACTTTTCTGGTGCTTGTTTTTTTGCCTTAAGCTTGAACCTTCTCCAAACAAGGATGACTTGACCTGTATTACATGCAGTATCATTATAGTATTAGAAATATTTTGTGTATTCAAAGTTGTTTTTTCCTGCTCAGAGCTACTGAGTCCCTGTTCCATAGCAATACTAAGTAAGCATTCTGTCATTTTAGTTAATTCTCCTGTGTAAGCCAAAGTTGTCAGCACTGGCCCTGAAAGGAAGATTAGTCACCAATTTGTAAAATGTTGTTATTAATCCAGAAATAAGTTTTTAGCTTTGCTCTATAATTTACAGTGCTGAATTTCATTCTCCATGGCGTCACATACGCCCTTTGAAAGGAGTTGAATTAATAAGGATAGTTCATACTTCTAGCTTACGTTTCTCTACTTCATCCCCCTACACAAAAAAGGTTAACTGCCTTTTCAAATTAAGGCAGCAGTAATTAACCAGTGGCATTGTTTGTGATTTGCCAACTCTGAGTGTTAATGAGAGAGAAATTAGCACTTAGCAGCAGGAGTTCCTCATAGTCAGTGGCAAATGCTTAATGTGCCAACAAGTTAATTTTGGTCTTAAGTACTCCACTTAAGTCTTTTTAAACAAAACTATGGTAAGATTTTATGTGATCATAAATATGGTCTGTCTGATATAGAGCCATAATAGAGAGAATGATACAATATAGTGAAAAAAATGCAACTTGGGCAGCACAGGGCAAATGGTTTTGCTATACAAACACAGTCAAAAGCAGATTTGTTGGATGTTTTTATGCTAAAAGTGTACTTACTCCTGCAATTAACAGTATGTAGATGTTCCTGTAGATAAAGTTGATCATCAGAATTGGCATTTCTGAACATAATTTTTAAGTGAACGATATTCCTGAAGAATCGTGTTTACAAGTTCTGATGATTTGACAGAAACATAAACAATCCCTATGGACTGGTCTCAAAATACTGATTTTATTAAAAATTGTAATTTCAAATACAGACAGCTTAAGCAGAGTGCCACCTGCCTTTTATGGGGGTGGGGGATTCAGACTGCCAGGCAAAGCAGAGCGAGCCCTTCAGAACTTGGGCTGAGCAGCTGCTCATTAGCGTTAAGTTTTTTACCTGGCACATGTGCTAGTAATGAAAGTGCTGCTTGTACATTTTATAGTTTCTGCCTTGTCTAAGATAGTCCATTAGAAACGTAAAATGTGCTCTCCATCTTGGGGGGATTTTTGCTTTTAAGATAAGTTCAGTTAGTACGTAAGTACATCCCTACCTAGTTATCCCTCTAGCTGTGGTTGGTTGGTGTGGGAACATATGCGTAGTCTGTAAAATAAGAAAAGTAGGGCCAGGCAGCATCAGCGAATTACTGCCTCGTGAGGAGCAGCAAAGGACTGATACTGCCGTGAGTATCAGTCCTCTGCTTCAGTTGCTCTCTGCTCTTTGCTACTGTTAGACTAGCTGTTGTTCTTAACTACAGTGAGATCTTGGCCCCACATGGACTTCAGAAAATGACAACAGGGAGAGATCCTTAGAGACGGCAGGGGCTGAAGTTACTGACCACCAGAGAAAAGGATTGCGTATAGGCTGCATCACCCTGCTGCATTTTTCCGTCTGGGCTTTATTCAATACTAAACACATTTGATTATATTATTTAGTACGGCTGGATTTGTCACGCTTATCATCTTTGCATTTTCACATAGCATCTTTCAGTTTCAAGCCTGACCACACTTGCCAAGCTGGTAAGTCAGCTATGCCGAGGGGTCATTTACTTTGCCACTAAAATGCAGCCACTTGTCGTTGAAGGGTAGTTGCTGTAAACCAAAATGTTACAACACTGTGCAGCAGTTTTGGGCAAAAGAGTACTACATCTAATTGAAACTGCAGGAGGAAGCCACAGGGGTTTCGTCTTCCTTTGATGCCTGTTTCATTACATGAGCACATCAAATAGAGTTTTCCTCCATTGTTGGAAAGAAACCACCCTAATGAAGCCAGTCTGGCATTACCCACAGTTTTGAGTGCTTGTATTGTTTGCTCAGTGGACATTTAAGTTACTGTGCATCCCCCTGACACACTTTTATTATAATTAAACATTAACAAAAATTGGCTACCATATTGGTCGAGTGCTAAGCACAGCTCTGTGTATAAACCATTACATGACATTCTATTGAACTTTTTCTTGTACATACGGTATCTAACAGCTCATCCTGCACTGTTGTTTTTGGCAAGTTCACTACAGCATATAATAAATCACAGAAAGAAAAAGCTTTTTGGCCTAATGTTGTACAGACTGCTGTAATGTTAGACTACAGAAAGCAGTTCTGTTTTTAGACATCCTTTTACTAACCCAACATTCATAATTTATGATTTCACTGTAAAATTCCTGCAACACTACACCAAAAGTAGTGCTGCCCTTTAATTAAGTGCTCTCAGTAGGAAAAACGTGAAACTGATGTGCAAAACATATCGCAGTACACAGTGATTGATAGTGATTACTTCTTTATGAACCCAGCCTGAAGGTCTGAACTTCCTGATGGGTAAAATAGTCCATGGGGCTACTTCCTGAGATTGCCTAGTGGGGATCAGTCCGTGTTAGTAATATCTGAGGAATTCCTGAGGCACATTTCAGAGACCCTGCAGTAGAAACTTTCTGTTTCTTCATGAATTATGTACAGTTTACCTTACTAATTACTTGCGTAATAACACATTGTAGACGTTACATTTTAAGGATTCATTGTTGATCTTCACGGTACTACAGTGCATGTGAACTGGTATTGCGTAAACCCATGTATTTTTAATGTCTAAAGGTCCAAATCTGAAAAAAAAAAAGAGCGCATTGCAAGAGAAACTGCTGTATGTATCAAAGTTATTGAAAGTAACTTAACATTTAAGACACGGGTCTGTTTTTTACTGTTAAGTTACATGTGCAGAGCATTCAAGGAATAAACCCCTTATGGAGATTATTTACATCTTTAAATAGCATTTTTATTCATGGAATCAGGCATTAATAATGTATAGCAATTCAGTGCTGATTATATTTTGAAAATTAAATTAAACTCTCTCCAGTTTTGGAGTGAAATTAACAGGAGATTTACTTGTGCTGGGACTGAACAATCACATAAGTTTGTTCTTTCTGCTTCATAGATTTGGCCCTGGATTAGTCATCTATTGGTATGGATTTATTGAAGAGCTGGACTGCCATCGTGAGCGTGGTATCCTGCTAAAAGACTGCTTTCCTACTGACATTGTGACTCTGCGACACAGCATGGCTTAGCACTGATGTTGGGAGGAAGAGGTAAATCCGGAAGCAATTTTACTTTCCTGCAGTGTAAACTAATAGCAGCATCTGCCCTGAACTTCAGCTGAACTCCTGCTGCCTGTGTTCATGCTACTGCCTCTTTAGACAAACATATCAGGAGTTTCTGTTTTGCTTCAGACCTCTGTTGTGATCAGCCAAAAAAGACAGACACAACCCACTCATTATCAGCATTTCTCTCTCTGTCAAACAGTTAGTTTATAGATATTCGTAATCTTCCTTCCTTCCGGATGGCTTCTGCTAGCATTCTAAACAAAGAAAAAATACAGAGGCTGAAAGGTGCAACTTTCAGTTCTTCTCCAAAGTTTTTTGGTACGGTTTCACTCACAAGTTTATTAAATGTTAGTGATGTGGCTGAAACACCTACAGTGACGTGGAAATTTGATTAAGGCTGATATTCTGAGTCTTAAAACAACATAGTGCATAGCTCAGAAAGCCCAAGTGGTATGACAGGGTCATATCATTTCTGGCTGTAGTAAGCAGGCAGATATTGTGAGAATTATTGGTATGTGTGTTTCCTTACTTTATCTGATTGATTGTTAAAAAACCAACAGAATCCCAGATTAACAATAAGAAAGTATTCAAGTTAGGGTTTTTTTGTGAGGGTGGAAGGGAAGAGCAAGGATTTATTTTATGCATGTGAGTTTCTAAACTTTGTAGTATGTATTCATTTGTATATAAAAAATGTAATAACTCCAAAATAATTTGGGTTTTTATCTTTCTCTGTTTTATTTATTTGAGGAATCCATACTTAGGAGTTTTTCCTTTTAACTGACTTCAAGCAAATAATCTGTATTGACCTCTGTAGGCATTCTAACATGCAAGTTTCTAGCATACCAAAGTCCAGAAGAACAGTGTGCGGGAGCTTTTTGCTTGACTTAATTCTGAAGAAGATAATCATCCTCATGTTTAAGAAGGCAGTAAGAAAGATAAAGCAGTGCTTCATACTGGATCAGTTCCGTGGGACAAATGAAACATCCAAATAGGCATCAGTCTCCTGAGCATTCTTATGTGTTCCTATAAGAGTATTATATTATGTCTCTTGTTTGGACCACCAAGATTGGAGGTACATTGAGGTGTCAGCTATCGCTGAAACTTTTAGAGGTTCAGTCTCAGATTTTCTTTCCACATTCCTCCCCACTCGGACAGGCAGTATTTGGCTCATTCTCAGCCATTCTGCTCTCTCAGCTAGAAGCTAGTCAAAGAAAACAGCTCATTGGCCTCAGTACTCTTTAAGGTTCTTTTCTTTGCTAACTGTCATTCAAGGAGGAACAAAATACTTTAGAACGTCAGCAAGGGCGTTGTATGTATGCTCACCGTCTCTAGTTTGCCACAGAAGTTAGGCAGAGCTATAAATTCTGTTGTGGAATGAAAGGTGTGATAGCAGTCTTCAAGCATGAAGACCTCTTCCATGAGGAAATGGTCTTTAAAACATTAAGATCTACATTCATCTTTTTTTCAGATAACTTAGTTCAGGTGATATTTTGTGCGTCTGTATGATTTCAAAATCACAGGCAGACTTTATGTAGTCTTACCTAGAGTTAAAAGAAAGGGTATTAATCCCATTCAATTTTTTTCATCTCTACTATTCCATTGTATACAGAATATTTTAGTTTTGAATTTTGAGATCTCACTTTAATACTTTTTGGTAAGTTTTCAGACAGGAGTTTATCATTTTGACTAGCTGTTTATTTGAAGGAAAAAATACCATTATTCTCCCTAGTGCTATATCCTTTGCTACAGAGATAAGCCAGAGTAGCTCTGCTATTGTGAGTTACTGATGTGGAGAGATTATTTTCTTATTTTTGAATATGTTATAATGAAAGATTTTTTTTTAAATTAAAATACCTGTAACTCATTTATATTCAACTATTTAAGGTGTTGTGCTTAGTTTATTTTACCTGACCAGCTTTATGGATCTGCATAGAAAGATATGCAGAAGCAGTCTGCAGAGTACCTGCCTGATGCTACACAGAAGCTGCATTTAGGGTGTTGCTGCCCCTGGGACATATAACTCTGGTTTAGGTTAGTGGCATGTGTAAAATCAAGAAAAAGATAAAAAATAAAGTAATAACTGAACATTATTATGGTAGAAAACTAAGAGGTAATGGTTGTCTAAGTGAAACAGGTTTTAAGGGCAAAACTGAATATGTTTTAGCTAGTGCATATGCTTTCTTTTGTATGAAAACATTTAAATCAGCTTTTACATGGTGCACTAATGCTGCTTTTTCTTTTTGAATAAATTAAATTTATCTGCACAGATGTTGAAAATTCTGCTCAACCTCCATCAAAGCTTTGCTTTATTTGTTTTTACATTAAACAAATTTATGTTGGGGACACACAGATAAATCAGGTTATGCTTGTATTTGTTTATTTATTCCTATACCTGATGCTGGGACATAGCAGGTTGGAAAGCAATACTGATGTCTTTAATCAAAGCTTTTACCTCATCTTTACATACTGCCCCTTTTAAGAATTGTTATATTAGAATGAGGATGAAATAAGCCATAAAAATATAGATACTGTACTGATTCTAGTTACGTGGGATCTGCTAGCCATCAGAAAAATTGTTATACTAAGTCACTATTTTAAATGCTGAGAAAAGAATATTAAAAAAATTAAAACTACATTTTTATTCCTACTTGTATCTTGCAAAAAGCTCATTTGTATATTTTTTCAGTTTATCAGATGTAAACATCAACTTGAAGAATAAAAAAGAAACTACTGCCTTTTTTTTTTTTTTACAATGCTGTAGATATTAGAACCTTAACATTACAGCCAAATCCAGTTTTATGGAGTATTCTGTAGAGTGTGCTAATGAATTATGCCAAGCCAGAAAACAGAAGTGTGCATAAAACTGAATGATGTTCTCGCTGGCATATATAGACTTGCCAAGCATCTGCTCTTACAAACACTGTAATAAGGCCTGTTTCAAGCTTTCAGAATTGATGTAATTGTGTGGAATGTGAAAGCAGAACTTCCTCATATAGGGGGAACAGCACAATTGTTGTGGGTCACACTGTAGTGTGCAATGGTCTATGTTAGAAATAACACATTTTTTCAAGCTTTCCTGTGTTCTGGGAACTGAACATTAGCAAGAGTTTAATAATATTCCCCCAAAGCCAGCTCAGAGCTAAATAAAACTTCTTATCTAAAGATGAAGAGAAAGATGTGCCTACTGATACCTCATTACTATTTTAGCATCATAGCAGTATTGATAGTTCATGAATACTTTTTATCTTACTTTGTTGCATTCATTCATTCAAAAAAGTGACTGTTTCCTGGTGTTTGCATTGTGATTTCTCCACCTCACTGTAATTTTAAGACAAACTTTAGTCTACTCCAGAAGACTATTCATGGCTCTTTCCATGTGCCTTTAAATCCTCCCCTTTTGATTTTCCGTCTTATTCAACCGGTTCTCACTTACTGATTCAGTATCCTTGATTCCCCTTTGAAAATCTGTCCTACCCTTTCTACCTGCTTTTTTTTCTACAGTTTCTAATACTGCATCTGAGAATTGCTGTTTCCAGTGTAGAATGCATTCAAACTAACCCACCATATCAAGCAATCTTGTTCTCGTTCTAATTTAAATAGCACCCTTAGGTGCCAGGCAGACTGTCCTCAAATTTCCACATATAGCACTTCACTGTGATGCAAGGGCATTGTGGTGCTACTGTTCATTCCCTTGGTTTGAAATATAGGTCATTTCCCACACACTGGGAAAGTTGATAGAACAGAGATCTAATACAGCACAGTCATTCCTGTCTATAGTGTAGTTTTACAGTGTTGCCTCTGGTTGTACGGAGGGATAAGACAGCAGTGCATCTGTGCTACTAGAATGTAGGCATGGCCAGTATTAGGAATGTAGCTGTTACAGTAGTCTCTCTCATTACAGATACTGCAAGTTCATTCCCAGCTCAAGCAGCATTTCTACAGGAAGGTCTTTTGAAGTCCAGGGGCAAGCTTCAAAAAATCTACTTGGCTCAAGAGAAAAAACATGGCCAGCTCCCTATTCTCTAACCACAGTGGTTCTGGCAAAAGCTCGTACATCCTACAGGTTGTTCTTATTTACCAGAGTTGACTATGACTCCTCAAGCACTGACAAAATATACACAGAATTGACTCTTCCTTTTACTTCAGCTGAAATATTCCCACTATTTCAACAGCTTCTAAAGGGATCTTGTGCAGTTAGATAGTAAATGCTGAAGGTGAATGATAGTTATTAGAACTACCCTCTTGTTACTTTGAGGAAGACATTATAAATATGTTAAAACAAATGCTGCTCAAGTAATAATTTAATATTATAAAATAAAATAGCAGGCTGCCTAGATGAATTAAAAAATTACTCCTGTTATATTATTCTCAATCACAAAGGCCCATTTATTGCAGATTTGCAGAAATAACTGATTTAATTAAGTTGACAAAAGAAGAAACTTCAAGGGCTTGCTCTTTACAGTTGTATGATAGGAACCTAAAGTGTGCCTGTTGAAAAATGAACTAGCTAACAATGGGAGCTTGGCAGCAACTTCACCATTTATAGAGAAACTGTCTATCTAGTACGATCTGTATAAAATAGACCTCACTTAGGTTAGGGAAAGGTCACAAGTTACACAAAGTTTGGATAGTCTAAATGCGTTACTCAAAACTAACTCTCCTGTGTATAGTAAATATTATTTGAACCTGTATTATTAAGAACATGCCAGGATTCAAAAGATTAAATAAGGAAGATGTAATTATGAGCTAAATAATAAACAGAGCAGCTTTAGTTCCCCTTGTGTTTTTTACTTTCCTGCTATTGTTTCATATACGGCTGTTATACAAAGAGCAGCTTAGGTCAGCTACTATAAATTATGGTTTTAGTACAATAGTAATCTACTAAAATTATTTCAAAGCTGGATCAAAGAGCTTCAAAAGACTTTTTGAAAACTTTTCCATATAATGAAAAGACTTCATTCTGATGCTCTGTTTCAATTTTTATAAGCATTTCTTTCTTGATTTAGAACTGCATCTTGCAGCTAGTTGTGTTGACGCTGTATTAGTGGAATGCAAAAGATTTGCATAATTTATTTGCAGCCTGAAATAAATGTGAAATGGTAATATCAAATAACTTTTTTTCTAAAATAAATTAGCTAGTGCATTTTGCAGGCTACGTTTCTTAGCTAATCTGTGTGACAAGACATTTTTAACAAAACAAAGATTTCAAGTGAAATAGTTTATCTGATTTTCTTCCCTTTGCAAACATACAAATCACATTTACAGTGATAATGCTGCTTAGTAGCTTTTAGCTGAGATCATAGCCATCTATAAAATTTTAGTCTCTCCTCCCTCTTAGACAGGCTTTCACCTAATCTGAACAATCTCATGTCATCTGCACAGATCCATAGATGTGGCATTGTGATGTCAAAACAAAATGAAATGTCGATGCAAGTGTGTAGAGACAAAGTAACAATATTGAAACCATGTCAGTGCACATCTACAGAGACCATGTTACTCTTGTCAGTGTGATTCTAGGGAGATCACTCTGAAATGTTAAAATGAAATGAAACTAAGTCAATTAGGTAATAACAGTTGAGGTTCAGGGATTAATTGAGGGCCTAAGGTGAAGCCAATGGCCATTAACCCCAGCGGTTATTAATTCTGAGAGAAATATCCTTGGCTAAGGTTACTCTCATTATAAGGAAGTTTGGAGGGTTTTTTCCATGCTGTATAAATACCTTTTGCTGTTGCCTATAACG